CAGCAGGACGGCAGCGCCCGGCCCACCCTCGGCGCCCCCGGTCACGGAACAGATTTTCCCTTCTGTGCAGGGAAACGCAGGGATCAGACCCGAGGAGCAGCAGGAAGCCAGCCTGAAAGCCTCCGAAGCCTCCTGCGCTGCAGGGAATGCCGGTGCTGGAAAGCACCCTCCCAGCGGGACGGTCGGGGCTGCCTGCTGGGCTCAGCTGCCCCAGCAGCACATTTTACCCTTCTTTGGTGTCATTCGGGGGCCCCGAAGCGTTCGACAAACATTAATTGTAACTAAGCTTTGCCATCCCTGCAGGCTGAGGGTCGTTTTCAATCCACAGCCACACAAAGGAACAGGCAAGCCGAGGCTGTGCCTCAAACCCACCGTGACGCCAGCAGCAGAGCCCGGCTCTACCTCCTCCAACAGACTCCTCCTCCGGGGCCGAGGGGACGCGCAGCGCGACTCCCCACAGATCGCAGACACCCGCACCCAGCGGAAGGGCGCAGTCAGCAGAACCCGATCGCGGCCAAAATCCAAGCTGTGTGGAAGCACAGTTTTGCTAAGATGAGACCCACAGCGAGAGGACCGAGATGGAAGCAGCGTGCTCGGGAAAAGGGGAACCTGCATGGAGCGGAGCTCTGTCAGCCCTGGGGCGTGCGGTGCACCAGCGATCCCGAGACGCAGCTGCACGGCAAACCGAGCCAGGCTGCGCCCGCTGCCGTCCCTCGCAGAGCTCACCCCCCCCAAAAGGCATTCCACACGCCAGCCACCTCCTCCAGGCGCTGCTGCTCCAGCGGTGGGGCCGAGGGGGGGTGGGTTTCCAGCCACGGGCTGCCGGGAACCGCGCGGCCTCGGAGCCCAGCAGAGCTGCACAGCCGGCCGGGCAGGGAGCTGAGGGGACCTGTGCCACGAGGACGGCCTTCAGCAATCCAGAGCGTTGCATCCTGCCCGCCTGCACCCCCCTCTGTCCCCACAACTGGAGAAGAGGGGGCAGGGTGGGGGGGGGGTGCAGCTGCCTGTCTGAAACCAGCAGAAAGGGGACAGAGCAACGTGCCGTGTCCGGTGCAGAAGGCCAAGGCTGCACCTCCCTTCCCCTGCTGATTTTGCAGCAACCCCTTCCCGGGCACCCCAATCCTCAGGTGCTGTGTGGAGGGGGCATCCCCCCTGCTTACGGGGGGCCACAGACACAGCCCCCGAGTCCCGGAGCTCAGAAGTCACAGGAGTAACCTTGAGGCTCTGCTAGCCTGAGCTTCCCTCCACCCTCCAGCCTGACGGTTAAAGAAATTAGGTTGTTCCTATGGCAACTGGCGGATCAGAGAGGCCTCTGCAGCTTTGGCTCAGCTCCCTGGCAGGGCGGCAGAGGCCAGCGCAGCTCTGCAGACCGAGGCTTCACCAGGAAGCGCCGGGGGCCGGCGCGTCCCTCCCCGCAGCCCCGTTCCGCTCCACGCCGTCTGGCAGCGAAGCCTGCGCACCGCAGCGAGCCCTGCAGCAGAGAAATTTGGGATCGCGCTGGGACAGCACCCTGTCTGCAGCACCCACACGGCACCCTTCGCTCCGGCCCCCGGCAGAGCGGGCTGGGGACGCAGGCAGGCAGGCTCGCACGGAGAAAGGAAACGCTCTGGGGACGCGCTGCGAGGAGAGGCTGAGGGAGCTCGGCTTGTTCAGCCTGGAGAAGAGAAGGCTGCGAGGGGACCTTAGAAATGCCTACAAATATCTGAAGGGTGGGCGTCAGGAGGGGCCAAGCTCTTTTCAGTGGTGCCCAGTGACAGGACAAGGGGCAATGGGCACAAACTGAGGCACAGGAAGCTCCAGCTGAAGATGAGGAAGAACTTCTTCCCTCTGAGGGTGACGGAGCCCTGGCCCAGGCTGGGGTGACCCTGCTTCGGCAGGGGGTTGGACTAGATGACCCACAGAGGTCCCTTCCAACCCCTACTATTCTGTGATTCTGTGATTCTGTCTCCCTGGTGCTTCCAGAGCGAGCAGCTGTGACACGCAGCGGAGGTTAGACAGAGAACAAACCTCGCTTTCCAAAAAGCACGACAAAGCTGGTGGGGTTTCCCAACAACTCCCGCATCCCTTGGCAGCCGGCGGGGCTGTCTGACGGTCGCACCTACACGTTCTGCTCCGGCGCTGGCACCGACAGACAACAACAGGCAACCGGAGTCGCCTGCGAGACAACGCTCTCACCTCGCGGGCTCGCTGCCTGCCGCTCGCGAACGACCTCCCACGCAGCTTCGGCGACGAACCCCGAGCCAAACGGCTTTGCCTTGCACGTGAGGAGAGGGATGGGAAGCGCGATCCAACGCCTGCTCTTCACTTGTGACCCCCGTCCCCACCACCAGACCAGCAGCAGCGAGCGTGTCTGCAGGTGCTGAGGAGCTTTCCCACTTACCACATCCTCAGCGGAGCTCTGGTCCTCTCGGAGGTGATCTTCAGCCAGCAGGCAGAGCACGAGGCCCTTAATGCAGTGAACGTACAAGCTCATCTTAACCGGTCTGCACTGCCTGCCCGACTCCACGCCAGCCTGGGCTCCCAGCCCGTCCACCCGAGGCAGACAGCCCCCCCGCCGGGGACAGTCCGTGTTCTCTGATGGGTCCCCAGGCAGATGCTCCTGAGCCTCTGCAGCCGGCAGCTGACGCCGGCCTCGGAGCTCTGACCGTGCAGCAGCGACTGGATCGTCCAACCCCCCCTCACTGCCACCAGCTGCACCGCTGCTTTCGCCAGAGACACCAGTTTGGCTCACAGTCCCTTGCTCGTCTTGGTCACTTGATTTCCTTCTGCTCAACCCCTGGGCAGGAGAGCAAACAGCGGGACTGCCGCTGGCTGCAGCGTAACTTTGGAAACTGCCTCGCTCAACGTCAGAGTCCGCAAGGGATTTCCCCATGTTCTGACCCTCCTGCTCCCGGGCGTAAGGGTTTGGAAAGCAAAAGCCTTCCAGCTGCGGAGCTGCAGTCTGAGCACACTCAGCAGCACGGTGTGTGGAAGGGCCTGGCAGCTGCTTCGTGTCTCTCTCCGACGGGAAGCACGCTGTTCTGCTGAGCTCTGAGCTCCTGCCGTCTGCTCTGCTCAGCTCTGCAGTTGGAGAATTCTTTGTACCGGCCTCCGTTTCAGGGAAGTCCTTCAAAGCACTGGTGTTTGCGAGGCTGCCTGATCGCACAGCACCTTCTGGTGCAGCTGTGCTTGAAGCTTGCTCAGGGGATGCCTGCCCAAAGATACTGTTCAGGTCTTGGTTTTCATCAACTCCTGTTGACTCTGAAGCTGCCTCGGAGCAGAGAGCATTCTTCTCTTCTCTAGGGCTTGCTGGGGACACGGATGACCTAGCGGGAGATGACAAGTTGATTAAACTACTGAGTAGGATCTGTTTGGAGTTGTTACATACCTAATAACACTACCACCTCCTGGCAGCATTCAATAGCTGATCTATTCTCTGCTACAAAGAGCATCTACCTCGGAAAAGCGTGGGCTGAGCTCTAACGCAGGTGAAAAGCACGGGCCTCCAACACTGCAGGCTCCTGGGAACGTCACGCCCTCGCTAACGAAGCACAAAGGCAGCGCTGTGAGCAGAGACGCAGCACAAGGTCACCGCTGGTCTCGGGAAGCAGTTCTGCTTTAGGCTGCTTCACCACAGAGGTACGGACACCGCAAATTCTGTCCAGCCTGAAAGGCCTCGGGCAGCTTTAGCAGCCAGACGACAGAGTCTGAGTCAGTATCAGAGAGGTAACAGCGGCGAGCGAGGACACAGGCCACGTGTCAGCTCCCTCGCTCAAAAGCCTCTCTGTGCGTCGGATCGATCTCCTACCTGGTCACCCACTCCACCGGAAAGTCTCGGAGCACTGAGACTTCATCTTCTGTTAGGAATACCGGGACGATACGGACATCCTGCGGCAACGGAGAGTCTGCAAGAGCAGTGGAGGTTTGAGGGTGACATTAACATTCCCGAGCTTAAAGCCAGGCTCCATCAGCCCAAAGGCTCCTGCCGGAGGAGAAGGCGTGCTATCATCCCGTATCCCGGCTCACCACAAACCAACCACGTCTGACTAGGCAGCATTTTCCCATCCTCCTCATACACTTGCTGCCTGACACAGTTAAATTTTCCCTTAGTGTGGGTTGTTGTTTTTTTTGCTAAACATCCTGGCAGAACATCCATAAACTGATGCTCAAAAACGATGACTGAAAGTTTGGACTGAAAGCCTCAGCCATCTGTTTGCAGGGCTCCGTCAGTGGCCAAGTAGGCACGCGGGTAACTGGAATTACAGCAGGCGTGTTGGGAATCTGCAGAACCAACAATTAAACCCAAAAGAGCAAACTCCTTTGCTTAGCCAAAGGAACTGGTTCTGATGACACAACACCCACTGGCACACGCTGACTCGTGGCAGCAGCACCCTCGGGGATACACTCCTGCATCCAGCAAGAGCTCTGACGCGAATCCCAGAGCACCAGCTCACGCTCTCGCTGCAGGGAACGCAGCCCCAGAGGGTTTCCCATACGCTGCCGTGCCCTTGGCAGCTGGATGCTCACCAGGCGCCCGCTGCTCCTCACCTCCAGGCTCACTCTGAAAGAAAAGCCAAGAATCAGCTCAGTGGCACGGCCCAACGCTTGCCACCAGGACACCTCACCATCCCAGCCTCCTCAGCCTCCCTGTGACTACAGCAGCCCCCAGACCATCCCCTTCAGCAAGCGCTGTGACTGGTGCAGCATGCTGGGCAACGATTTGCTCCTTACGCAGCCCTCAAAGCCAAGGGGACTTCCCCGAGAACCAAAATACACCTGAAAGCAAGGACAAATACTGCAATTTGCCATTACCGCCTGCTCAGGGCACAAAAACTTGGTTCACTCTGAACCAGAGGACGAGCGGAGGCCGCCTTCGCCTTCCTATCTGGATGTTGATGGCTTTTTTGTAGATTATCTTGAACCATGTAAATAATTAGGTTTGACAGGTTTTAATGGCAACAGAAATTGATCTATTTGTCACTTTCAGACATTTATTTTGTATATTTAGCACTAAATACCTAAACTTGGGTAAAAAGCTAATCAAAACATCACATAGATGAGAACTCACGAGGTCAGCAACTTAAAGACCAAAAAAAACTCTGCAAATTCATAGTGCAGAAGTCTTGGAACCTTGCTCAATCATAACTAATAACAACTTTTAGCATCAGCATCAATATTGGTCCTTCCCAGTAACGGCACACGCAAGATCTACGTGACAAGAGTCCCCAGCTGCGTTCTGCCGAGCGGTTACCGGCACACAGGGAACACGTTTAGCAACACACCTGGCCTGCAGACTCGTCGCCTTGGAGGAGAACTTTGGCAGTGAGTGGAGGTGGCAGCTGGGTGCTCACGATCCTAAAAGCAGAGAACAGAGTCACC